GCCCCCGCCGGCAGCCTTCTCCCGCCCCTCGCTTGTCCTGCTGTAATAGCGATAAAGACCGTAGGATTTTTATACGGCCTTCGCTCCAGGGTCTAAGGTTTAATAAGCTGGTCTGTATTGCAGCATAATTAGCAACTTTGTATGTATATATGCATTTAAAAAAGCCAAACGCTTTTCAATGGGAGGGAGCCCATAGAAAAGTATCCTGATGGTTTATGAACTGAAAAAGCCCTAGGGTTAAAGAGTGCTAGCAACAACTGTATTTCTCTGTGGTACGGTTTACAACTGTTAACGTGTTAAAGCATAATTAAGAACTGTGGAATATAAAAGCCTTTGGTTGTGGTTGGGCTCAGACCTGTAATCTGAAAGCAGGAAGGGAAGCCTGTGCATGTGCGAAAACTGGGGGGAAAGATCTCTTCCTGCTCGACTGCTCATTCAATCGCACAGCAGCGTTTTGGTGTGACCTGCCTGCCCTTCTAGCTGATAACGCTTCAAATCCTGAAGTACTTTGGAGATGGGGAGAGAGGAACAGGCGCAGGAGCTATCAGACCTTTTCGGTAGTACTAAATATGTTTAAGCATTTGCCTACTCTGAACTAAGCAGCTTCACGAGAACCTGAACTGCCTGTTCATTAAGTGGGTATTTAATGTATTGTGTGCGTTGTTCCTTAAACTGGGCACGGTTGTGTGATTATGTGGTAATCAAACTGAAAATGCTAATTGCAGTTTGTATAATGAACACTGCTGATGACACATCCTACAACTCTCAAATACTCTTTCAGAGAGTAAGGCTGAAGTTAGTCTAATACTGCACACCTTGTGGCATGTCTGCTTAAGTGGTACTTACACCTTTAATATCAATGAAACAGAGTTGTAACACAGACAGAAACAAACCCCTAAAAACGTTGTGTCTGTAGTACTGACTTAGGTGAGGCATTGTGATATGCTGCTTTTGTTTTCTTCTGCTTCTTTCCCCCCTCCTTCCTTGAAGTCTGGATGATGCTATTCTACATGCTTGTGTTTCCATTTGAGTTGGAAGTGCCTGATCAGAAATCCTCTTGCACCCACAAAAAGGAAACATTTGCCTAGTTTGTAAAGTTAACTTAAAAACTGGATAGTTCTCAAAGGAAAGTGGAAGGGTTTCCTGATACTGTTCTTTAAAAGGCCCACTTGCAGAAAACGATCATGTGGAATGCAAAAAATACTCCAAGCAGCAGGAGAGTATACTTGAACAGGATTGTAAAATGTAAGGCTTATTCACCTGGAATAGCTTACTCTTACCCAAGAAGAACCTTCATCTAAAACATTGTTTTCTGTCTGTGAGCTACTAAGAGCAGTATTTGATTGTTGTTTGCTGATATCAAGCAAAACTGGCTTTTTACTGCAGATTTGCGGTTATCAATCTCTAATGTGAACAGAAACAGGTTTAAGTTTAGAATTAGTGGCAATGTCTTTAGGGGGAAAAAAACAAAACAACAACAAGATCAAGCAAGGATGTTCTTTCACAGTTTCCTTAATCAGCTGTACTTTAATTTGCTGCAAAGAGCGCTCTCTTCCTCAGTCCTGTGTTTCTGTTTGCATTGGCTCAAACACTCATCTGGTCAACATTAATTTATTTTTGGTTAGATTTAGTATTTGTTTGGAACAAATACCTGCATGGCCATATGTGTGCCAGAGGCAATGTATGGGAAGTAGTAAAGGGAACAAGGGTCTGCTGTTCATCTTGATGTCATCATCTTGGATCAGTATAGGTTCTTGGCACTGAACTCTGTGTGTCTCAAGCTTACAGTTCCTAGAGTCAGTGTCAAACTACTGAACTGGTAAAAAATGTGATTCAAGCTGTCGTACACAGCGTAAATGGATCTGGTCCCTCCTTGTAGTGAAACCATTTCTTTTTCTGTTAAGTATCTGATACAGCAACACAGGAGATGGTTGGGCACTTGTTATACCTGGGAAAGCTCAGTGATGACACAGATGTGATCCAGCTAAGGAGTAGGCACAAATCTGGAAAAGTTTACATTGCTCCCCCACACTATTAATTGAAGTGTCTACAGTGTGCTGGCTGTGAACAGCTTCTAAGGAGCTGTTTCTCCTGGACACGGTCACTTCCTCAACAATACGACAGCCTGGTATGAGAGTCACTGCAGTGGTTCCATTCTCTGCAGGAATTTATCAGGGAGTAAGCAGTCTTGGTGACAGGCTAAACTTGCCTGAGTTATCTTGCTGTTAGTGCTTTTGAAATAACATTTTGCAAAAGCAATTTTATGGTGGTTTTTTTTTTTTTAAGACAGCCAGACTGTGTGTGTTATTGGAAAGCCTTTATTACATGCTGCAGTTCAGACTTAATTCTGAGTTGCTATTAAAAGTAGATACTTAACCTGTTCCTTTTCTGTTTCTAGCCAAGGTACGAGTGTCTGTCTAGAATGTCCAGGCATGCACAGCAGCTTAGAGACCATGATATAAATCCATGTGTAGCGGTAAGATGATCAAATTGGGATTTCTGTTTGTATGTTTCAATGTTAAATAATGCAATTTCTAGAGGATTTTTTTATGGATAGCACTCTTGCATTGGCGTTTTGCATAAAAACTTTCTTAAAGAGTCTGAAGATGGGAAAAGCTGAAAATCATCTGTTACAGTAGGTGTGAAATAACAACCAGTAATTCTGCGTAAATAGGAGTAATACAACTGATAGCAATCTCTTCAATTTTCTGTCCTTAAAACCAGAGCCTGAAATCCTGGTTAGACAAGCTTGGTTGATTTTCAAAAGTCCTGTGGGTTATACCAAGCATCTTTATAAACAACTATTCTGTGGACTCTATCCTTACTGTTTAAAGAGTACTAATGTCTGTTATCTCTAAATGAAGTCATTGTTTGGAATTACTGATTATCCTTTGTGATAGATGTGTGTCTGCTCTCTTTGATAGTTTTCTTTCATCTGAGAAGCTGCCTCCTATCTTCATAGATATTCTGGGACTTGTTAGAATTTTTAGACACTGAGTACAGTAACTTCCCTCAGCTCTGAAGTATGTTTTCCCCTATTAAAGGAAACGGATGCCTCTAGAAAATGTATGGATGACAACAACTATAACAAGGATATGTGTACTGCTTATTTTTTGAAGTACAAAAGCTGCAGGAAATTCTGGGTAAGCGCAGTAGATTTTTCTAAATTTTACTCCATGCTTTGCTTTAAGTACCTCACTTCTGACACACTGCTTTCTGAACTCTTCAGGCTTAGCTAGTGCTGACTGCTACTGTTTTTACGGTGACTTACAGGCCTAGGTAGTCTTGGTATGTGTTACTGGAAGACTCAAGCAGGTGCATATGGAAGTACTTCACTTGGTTCTTCCAAGTTTACCCTCTTAGGTTGTGAGTCAGTGTTCTTGCGGTACCTGATATGTTTCCCTCTGAATTTGAGTCAGAGATTTCTAGTAATAAGTTCTGTTTTAAATGAATATAATGAAAAAAATTCTGAGGTAAGAGAAGTTCATCTGGTTTTCCATTGGTTTGGGTCATATTTACTTTAACCTAAGATAAAACTTAGGAAGAGTTCATTCTTATTTGGTGGTGTCCTTATTTCCTTCTCTGTTGCAGTAGAAAAGTATCACGAGGAACTATGTGCAGTTAAACTGTTATCTGCTATTTTCTTTCCCTATGCCATTGTAGTAAAGAGTCTTTTAGTTTAGCCTTTAAATAATTGTGCAAACTACCAAAAAACTTTACAGACAATTGCGCATTAGTCTTATATTGCGTAATAGGAATACTGTAATTTCACTGTCTTCTGAAGCAGCAAGGTAAACTATCAGATATCTTCAATTAAATACTAGTACATTTAGTTATCAGCTAATCAGACTTAGCGTATCTGGCTCTTGATATATAAAGAGTACTTCTGTTAAAGAATGTTATTCATTCAGAGCTCAGAGGCAGAGACTTCTGAGAAATCTGTGTTCTCATTGTCACTTTCTTCTATTTTCAGCATGACATTATGATGCAAAGGAGGAGAAATGGTGTGAAACCAGAGATGCCCTCGGCAGAAGAGAGAAAGAAACTGTTGGAATCAATGGGGAAGCCCTACTGACTAAAAACTTGCATTGATTGACTGTTTTCACTGTACATTTGAAGACTTATCAGCAGCAAGTTGCCCTTTTATGAACTGGACTTTACAGTTGCCATATCTTGGATTAAAATAAGCTCTTTAAATTTTGAAATGTGTGAGCTTTCTAGGATAGAACTTCTTGGTTTTATTCATATTCCCTGTCATGGGAACTTGGCCTCTCACTGGAAGACGTGGGTATCAACACAGCTTATGTCTAGACACTTTGGAAGTAGAAACTAACTTGCTGTGAAATGCTAAATACAAAAATTAATGGGACTCACAGTCTGAGAAGAGGGGGCTGGTGAGTGTTGCAGTGTAGTTCTAAGGATGGAGCAGGTTAAAAGATCTGTATGTGCAACATGTCTTTGTATCCAGCTATTCTGCCTAATATTCTGGATTTATCACGTGTGATCCTATCACTGTTCCCACATGAGTTGTATTCTGTGTCCCTGGTTTAAGACTGTTCATGAACTAAAATCCCAAATCAACAAGTTTGTCATTAGGTCTGCCACTGCACTCATCAGTGACAGCAGAAGCTTGCAATAAATCAGATCCACAAGCTTTCCTTGTTACAAGGTTAGAGAGGTTGATGAAGATAGAATTGAACTCCTCAGGTCTGAACTGAATAGTACCTTCTGTGGATAGTAAATAGATACTTTGCTGGCGGGGAGGCAGGGGGACTTGCAGACATGTAAACATATACTCTGAGTGACATGGCAGGTTTAACTATAGTACATCTATCTAAGACTCTCTGGACAGCTGAAGCCCTGGGTTTGGAAATGCTTACTCATACAAGACTACAAAGCTCAGTTTGAACAGGTACTCTAATCTTAAGTAAGATTGATTCCTTAACTAAACTGAACAACTAGTAAGTGTAAACGGGTTGCTGTCTAGTGGAAACACTCTTTTCTTACCTTTTGTACCTTCAGGTGTCCTGGCTTAAAAGCTTGCACCCTGTGGTAAAATAGAAAAACCACTGTCATGAGCTCAAGTTCCATGTGAAATCCTTTAGGACTTACTGTGATCAAGTTGGCAGAACTCTGGCTGACCTCATGGAGGATGGTGTAAAAGTGTCTCTATTTAGACTGTTTTGGAAAGACTTCATGGCTTCCTGTTTCTCCTTCTGTCTGGCTTGTCTTGTTTCTTTCCACTGGAGGCCTATTTCTATGCTTAGTGGGATTTTTATGCTGTTTCCACCTTTCCCCTTGTTATTTGACCTGATTAGTAACTAATGGAGATCTTCTTTTCGACCTCCTCTTCTTTCTGTCTGTTCTCCTTACACATCTGAGTTTTGAAATAGATTGATCGTACCCTTTCTGTTACTGGAATGAGTGTGTAACTCTATGCCTTTTGAGTATGCAGTTCTCTGAGCATAGCTATGCAGCCTCCAAGCCATGTCACAAGTTGTCTAGTCAGTTCCTGGCAAGGGAAATAGACTTTCTTCAGTCAAGATCATCAGATTCTTTATGTTAAATTACTTTCTCTGTACTTAAAATTCAAACTTTGCTGATGGTTTTTTTTTTTGTGGAACAGAGAAGAAACTTTCATTATAGATTCAAAGGCTCTTTCTTGCCCACCACCTCCTTGCCACCTTCTTCCAGTACCCTCCTACATACCAGTCTTTCCTTTTTTTTTTTTTGCATTTGACACCAATTCTTTTTTACAGATTTGAGCATTTTGGTCTGTTCTCATTCCAACGTGTTTTTTTTTTCTAGTGACTTTGTTCTGTCTCTGATCTAATGGAGTCTGCAATGACTTTCTAATACAGCTCCTCTTGAAGGTCTTGTGTTCTGTTCTCCCTGTCTTAGTGAGAGGAGAACTCCTTGCTTTCATTAGTCAAGCTTAGCCATAATACTTCCTCATTGGCCATGCTTCTGTTTCATCTTGTTCATCTGCAGTTTTTGGGGAGCTGGTTGTCCCCTTTTACTTAGGACTGTGTCTCTCTGGACTCTTCTGGTTTTGCTGCCTTGCTTGTCTAAGGGCACCTTCTCTCCCAGTTGGCACAGGCTTGTCATTTGGCACCTCTACTGTATCTTTGGGTGTGTTCATTGCTCCTATGGCTTTGGCTGCTGTTCTAGTGCTTGCTGTTTTCCTGTTGCTGTGCTCTGATGTTCTGGGCTTACATTAAAATCTGCTGTATGTTTTAGTTCTGTGGAAGAAAAACAGCATCTCCTCTTGATGTGTGATTATGCTGATTCTTCTTTGCATAAGCTCAAGTTCCTTAAAATCATCTCATTTATCCTAGGTTTTCCTTTCAAGTTTTCTTTGAGTGTAGAAGTGCCCTTTCTCCTAGGTTATTGTTGCATTTACAATTTTTTCCTGCCAATATTTACTTGGAAAGTTTCTACTGTTTTTTTTTTCTTTTAAAGGATGATTGACTTATCTTTAGACTTAATAGATACCTTACACTGCTTTGTAAAGTGTTTGTAAAGAACTAGTACTGGACTTCAGAAAGTCAGAAAAGGAGATGCATTCCCTGCTTTCAAGTATCAAACAATGCAAGAATGTGGGATCACAGGACAGGCTAAGGCATATGTAATGCAAGAACAGTATTCTAATATTAGACTTCCTGATCATCAGTGGACACACACGGTAAGCTCCCTGCAGGTGTTATGGCAAAACTGAGTTTAGTGAAGAACTGAGGGCAGTTTAAGCAGTGACCTTGTGGATTTAATTCAGGTGATCAGTCATCCGTTGTAGGGAATGCCATTTATTTATTTCCATTGCATATGCCTTGTAGTTACTGTTAAAGAGCACAACTTTATGAAGAATCTTGGAAAGCAAGAAGTTTCTTCCTCATGTCATAATGCCTCTCAAGAGTAATCCATTAGTTAAGTCTGAGTTTTCATCGTTTTTTCCCCCTCACTGGAGGTTGCTGTTCTTGCTTTCACTACTGAAGCTCGAGTGGTTAGTTATAATAGCTAAAACATGGGCTCTTACGTATGAAATGGTAAGAGTTTTTTTCCATTAATTTTTGTAGTGTGATTAACTGTCTTTGGTTGTGAGCCAAAGATAATGGTCTCTTCCTCATACCTGAGAGCTTATATTCTACACTTCACTGAAACATGGAGGTAAGCTCTAGCCTGCCAGTCTTACTGGGCAGAAATAAACTGGGTTGAATTCTTAGTTTTGCTAAAGCACACTCTTGTGTGCTAACCCAGAAAACATAACACAATGGACCAATATAATTCAGAAGCAGGGAAAAGACCTGTGGGTTTGGTTTTGTTTAATAGGTGTAATTCTTCACTTTGCTTGTGGTACAAGGACCAAATCTGGATAGTGGCATTAATCTTTCATTATTTTTTTTGACAGCTGGATGGTGCTGTTGCACAACAGATGGTATGAAAACAGACTCACTCCACCCACTACTGGCTTTTTTAGCCTCTTCCCACAGAGATAGCAGAATTCATGCAGGAGAAAGGGAAGATTGGTGCTGTCTCTACACTACAAACAGAAGAGGAGGACAAGAGTCTAAATCACTGCTGGAAAATAGGAGGTTTCTGTGCAGCCTGAGAAGCTTTGGAATATGGTCCTTGAAAGAGTATTTCTCACTGTAGTCATTTGATCACAGCTGAGCACTGAGCAGCAGCTGTGGGCTCTCTGCCAGGCCCAGGTGAATGTCCAGACTCCCACCTGTACATTCTACCATCTTACCTTTCTCATTACCCTACAGTGCAAGGCCTTGGTATGTTTGGCTCTGGAAACTTTGTGCTGCCACAATTGGGATGCATCTGTGCTCTTGAAGGTGTTAAAAGAAAGTCATCTAGCTTTAGAGTCTTGAAAACTTCTTTGGGTTTAATAGCTGAAGCTTTGAAAGGCAGGGAGTTGCATGTGCTGCAGCTCTTGAGTCTTTTTCATGGTCTTCTAATAAAACTTTTGCACTCGTGTGACCAAAGGCGTGCGTATAGGGGAGGTTTCCCTAAAACTTCTGCAGAACAGATAGGATGAATTTAGAGTACACAATGTTACTCTGTTCTAATGCCTTTGGAGGCAGCCCTTAACTCATGTTAAAAGTATCTGCGTCTTTAAAGTCAGTCTTCCAAAATAGCTATGAAAAAAGTAATCGTGTGAAAAAAGTTTGGAAAAATAGTATGCTATTGCAGGCTTTTATTCTCTTGCAAGAATTTGAGGCAACTGGAGGAAATAGTTCCATAAGTAGTAAAAAGTAAAACAAGCATACTACTTCAGAATTTTTTAATTTTTTGTTGCAGCCTATTTGGCAGAAAAAAAAATGTAAGAGGGAAGTACTGCATTCATACTGACTGAATGCAGTGAGTCATTAAAATAAAACCTTAGTATGTTTTATATGTATGATAATCATCTATGCAGTAACTAAGACTGATCAGATTTTGAATGAGTAATTCCTCTCCATCCTTCAGGTTTCTATCTTGATGCCTCCTATCTCAAAATCCTTTTCTGAGGATTTTCACTTTTAAGGCCTTCAATGTAACAATCCTCAAATCGCACATGATTATTTCCCTTCTGAGAATTGAGCTGCTGACTGAATGCAGCTAACTTGAAATTCCTTTGTAACTTGCCTGTCTCTCCCTTCAGCGTCCCTTTCAATAAGCTCAGCCTCTCGTCTTCCTTACACTGATGCTATATTCTGCCCTGTGGACACCGTTCTCCTATTACATTATTTTTTGGGGTTTTTTCCTCGGGTACAATACTGCTTCATATCCTGATTACTATATTACCTTCTTGCTTTTATCAATTACACTGCTTCCCACCCTGTCTTAAAACTTTGTGATCACCATCCGTGCCTGAGGTTCAAAGTTCATCTTGGAGGTTTCATTCTACAGCTTTATCTTCCCTAATTGCCTTTTGCCTAGTCATCTCTTTCACAAGCTAATTTCCATTAGCTCTGGCTGGAATATCTTCCCTGCTCATATACTCATTATACAACTGATTTTTTTTTTTTTTCCCCTGAGCGCCTGGTTTCTACAACACTATCTTCCCCTTCAACCCGAAAATGCACTTTTGTAGCAAATTCCCTGTGATTAAGAAAAAGGCTGCTCTAGCAGCAAACTCTAAGACTACATGTGTATCTATATAAAATGCTAATTAGGTAGCTAGTGAAATCATCTCCCTTATATTTTTTTTTTTAAAGTTCTGGTAGCCCTTTCTCAAAAAAAGCTTTCCAGTCTCACTTGTATGCAGGTGCATCGTGTTTAATTCAGGCTGTCAGCCCCTTGAGCAGCAGCCTGCCATTTTGTAGTAGTCTGTAGAATGCTGTACACGGCTGTGGCACTGGAGAAACAGCAAAAATAATACCGAAGGTGGTTAGGCTGAGAGCTACGACAGATTTTCATGTCTTTCTGATACTGAAGTAATGTGGCAGATGGCCTAATTATTATTAGCAGTTCCTTCCCTAGAAAATCAATCCTGAGGGGAGACATGATGGCCATTTAATACGAAACACTTTCTCCCGATGCTGTCTGTGGGAGTAATTCCTTAACTTATTATATAATGTCTAACAAAATCAGAAAAGTTTGGTGGTATGGGTCTTTCACCAATAGTACAGAGGTTTCTTTTGGTTTTTTTTTTAAGCTAATAAAATCTTCATTGTCACTGAAGCTAGGCATACATCTTTTTTTTTTTTCTAAGAACACTCTTTCAAAATTAATTTTGAGAATTGTTTTCTATATCTAGGCCTTTTCCCCTTTTGCTAAGTTAATTGTGATATTTCCATTAACTTCTAGGTCCTTTATGCCCCAAAGGATTATTCATATTCACAGCCTCCCTATTTCAAGGGCTGTGTGGTTTTTTTTGCAACATTCAATTTGAGCAGATTCTGTCTGGAGCCCCAACCCTAATCTAGTTAAATCTATCTGGAGCTATTCCACAACCTGCTATTGCTGTTTATTTTTTTTTAAAAGCAAGCATTAATTGTTGGCGAATTAGGTTTTGCATTGCACTGTTCTTCCAATCATTACTCTCTCAAGTCCCACTACCCTTGGGCTACCTCTTTACTTACTCTACTTCGATAAACAGCTATGCACTGCAAATGCTTCCTGATATTTACGTGACGTTGGCAGAACACAGGCTTGAAACAAAAATGAAAATTGCTCAATCCCTGCTATTTTCTTTAACATTGTTTTCATTTTCAAACAGTTTCAAAAACATCTTGCCTCCTCTTTTGTATTTCTTCTGGGTCACATCAATGGATACAAGCTATGAGCCACCTTTTGAAGCTGCTATGTAACAAACACTTTCTGTTAATGCCAAACTCTTTATTTTACCTGGAAAATGTTTTTACCCTTTTATGGTAAACATTACCACAAATCTTGCCTTCTGTTTTAGCTTTTTCTCTGTACTACATATTTCATTCTCTTCTAGCAAAGAGGTCGTCTTGTATCTAACATCCTCAGTGGAACAGAAATACATGCATCTTTGACTACCCATTCTTTGGTTGTCTCTCACTGCTCAGTATTTTAAATTTACACCTTCTCCAGTATACTTTGTGGTTTTTTTTTCTTGAAGGTTTTTAAATTCAGCCTTTGCTTTTGGAAAGGTGCTGTTAAAATTCCTGTACTTCAGCACATTAACTATGCTATGTTTACGTTTTGTTTTGTTAGCGCTTCGTGTGATGGTTTCCTGGCACAAAACCTGTCCTTCGTGCCAGGGAATATCAATGTCATCCATTGCCCTGTAAAATAAGAATAATCACCCTCAGCCATTGCAAAACACCATTTCATGTGTGCTATGGATCAGTAGATTTAAAATAGTAACAAATCAACAAAACAATTTTTAAAAAAAGCAACCCTCTAATTAAAACTTACTGGAAGGGATGAAAATAAAAGATTTCTTTAACTGCTTTTCAGTAAAAGCAGTTGAATATGAATGCTGGATGATGTTAAAAGTAGCTGCAAACTATACAGTCTGGGAACTGTATGGGTTGGATCAGATTTTTATTGTGTATGCGTACAACAAAATTGAATTTGTCAAAAACTGGTGTTCTGCCTACAGAGAATACTGCACTGTGTTATATCAATGGGTTAAAAACTGCACTTACATGTCAGAATTGTTCCAAAATGGAAAACAATTGTAAGGTGATTAAGAAGATGTATAATGACAAACAAGAAACATTATGCTCAAGATAGAAGAGAGGTACTTGCTGAGTAAAATAAAAGCAATTCACAGCTGTAAGACAAAGTTAGACTAATAGTAGAAATAGGGGGCATCAGCTCAAGCTTGCCACTTTGATATCATAAGTCTGTGAAGAATCTAAACATTTTTCATTGATGATAAAAGATTGTAAGTAAGTGTGTTGTCAAAAAAGATTTTGCAATGTTTTCACAGAAATAGCCTGCTGGTAATATTTTTTTATTGTGCCACATGTGAATCTCAAAATTTTTCTTGCCTTGAAATGTGGACCCCTGAGCAGTCCTTGGCTCTAGAGTTGCATGCAACTGTTGGAAGTGATCAGTGAATGTGGTTGCATGTGCAAAGTAGGGTGACAGGAGTTTTGTGGTATTTTCTCCTGATTTTTGTTGAATAGTGGAACTGAATGAAGTTGCTGCACTGGGATATGTTAGCACTACAGTGCTTCCTTCAATGCATAAGTAACAAAAGGATGGAATGTAGATAAAGGGACAGATCCTAAAGTAGGGTGTGTGCTATGAATGTGCCATATCCTGCAATATCAGTCTTCAGTACTTGGGCTCTAGGTTTGGTGGTGAATGGATTCAAACAGGTGTTACTGATGGTCTGAGAAATGCTGTATTTTGGTATTCTTCTACTTGACAGGTAAACAAAAGCAGTTCCTTAAGTTAAAGATGACGGTTTAAGATCCTTAAATTTAAATGTAGACCCCTAAGGGCCCGTTCACCTGTTGGCTGTCTGCGTGTTCAGACATCTAGAGCCTGTGGGTGCCAAACACTTTGATATCAGAAGTCCCTGGCGCTTCATGTTCCGCTTTGCGCTTTGGTGCCGGCAGTGCTGATGGACTAGGTGTCTCTCCCCACCTCGGCACTGCTGGGATTTATGGAATAAACATTCCACTCCACCAGCCCTGGGGAGCGATTGCGAAGTCTGCTGGTGTGTGGGTGAGCAGAAAGAAATTTATTTTTGTGCAGGGTGTTACTTGATGGTTGTATTTTCAGTGATTCCCTTCAGCAACTGCCATTCCAAGTCCCTTGTTCCGCCCTCCAGCTGGTGCCTCTTTGTGGTCCCCACTGTCAGTGCTGGTGCAGGACCCTAGCCTGGGGAACGTATCCAGCTGCAAAATAGCAAAGGGAAAATGGGGAGAAAGGGAGGCCCAGTGCTTTTTCAGCCCAGCTGGAGCCCCGGGCACCTCACTGCCCAGCTGCAGCCACACTTGTGCCCCTGGGTTGGAAGGGACAACGTAGGGTGTCTGAGTGAGCAACAAAAGACAGGGAGCAAATGCTGAAGCCACAGCTGCCATCACAGGTCAAGCAGGGCTTTCTGTGCTTGAAAAAGGGGCTTCGGTGTTCAAAGCTGTGAGTACACAAGGGCTGTGATTCTCGAGGTGGCAGGCAGCTAAAAGCAGATAAAACCTAGATGGAGTCACGATTTCCTAGCACCTCCAGCTGGGCAGTTTAAGTAGTCTTCTTGACAGTGTGCCAGTCTTTTCTAGTCCTAGATGTGATCACATTGCAGTTAAGTGCTGCAAGCACGCATGTATGAGGAGTAGAAAAGCACTGAAAAGGCTCACTGGTAGGTTTTACCCACCTGTGCATTAAAAGCAGTTTGCAGGTTTCTGCCCTTTAAATTTTAATGTTCAAAACCCTGAGAATCAATTATGTTAATAAATACTTTAACACCTCAGCTCTTTTAGGGTTGCTGTGGGACAAGAAGAGTTCACAAAATGCTTTGGTTTTCTGCAGTGTAGAAAAATTGCCAGCCAGGAGTTGGCAGAGAGCATCAGTATCTCTCTCCGTCTCTTCCAGTTGGCAGCTGCAGGAGATCGGCCTGCTGGAAAAGCTGCTGTAAAGCTGGATGTTTGCAAACAGCCAGCTGCTCCTTGTGTCAGGGAAATCTCATTCTCAGTTTGACCCAAATGGGCACAGATCTGCCCGATTTTGTACTGGTCTGGAAATGCAGGCTGGTCATTTGTTGCTGATGATTGCTACCAGTTGGCCTCTGTAAAGCAGCAAGAAGCTGACACTGTTTCTAAAATCAAAGCAATTTGCTAATTTAAAATGTTAATGGATTCATTTATGGTTTTGTTTGCATCCTCTGTCAGGTCTAGAATTGCTATTCACTTGTAGAGAAGGATTTTATGTGCAAGTTTTTCCTCGTGATTTATTTCCAGTTCAGCTTTCGCATTGCTAGATTCTGCACCAACCCAAGAGAAATAACATTTTCTGTTCAGTAAGGGATTAATACTTTTGATGAGATGTTTGACACAGGAGGTTCACAGATGTTCTTGCACAAGCCTTTAAAGGACATTCGACATGTGGCATTGCAAGAACATATTCAGCAACTTTTAGGTAAGCAAATTGTCTTAACTTCATAAACTGCTTTTCATCGAACTAGATAGAGCCAAATCAAGTACTTTGCCAAGAAATTTATTTTTATTAGTGCAGTATAATTTACTGCTTACTAAGCTATCTGGTTCACGCAGTGTTTTGGAGGGGAAGGAGCGGAGCCGGTGGCGTTGGGAGGTTTCCCGACGAAAGAGGGCGGCTCCGCTGGGAGCGCAGCAGCAGCACTTACTGCAGAGCTGCTCTTCCTCCGGGTTTTTAAAGAAGGGATCGATACTGTGCTACACAACCCATCCCTGAAACTCGAAAAAAATCGTAATTTGAAATGAAAGCCAAAGAAAGGTGAGCTATTTCGTGTGTCCGGTTCACTGTTTTCCATTTCATCAGCGATAAAAACCTGAGGGGGGCTGGAGTAGGAAATTGTCACAACACCAGAAAGCGTCCTAGGACTCTGCTTCCAGTCTCACAGTGATTTCTGGGGTTTCTAACAAGGGGAACCATTCAGTGCGTTAAATTCACATGCATAAACCCTTTTGTGGGTAGTGAATGCTTTGGCATATGCAGAGTTGTTCTTTCAAAAGCCCGTATTCAATACAGATTTCAACATTTCTGGACAGCAAGTCATCTCTCTGTATCCCCAAAGACCGAGAACCACAAAAGTTGGGCGCTTTTTATAATTAAGTGTGACTTCTCCAAAGAGAGATGATTGCACCACGAGAGAGGATTTTTTTTTGCCAGAAATTGCCTCCTTATATCACTTTCTCTACTGAAAGATGTGTGTGGGATTCGGGATAGGCTGTATCGTCACAGTGGGTCTTGGATGAGACATTACGGATCATGTGCTTTGCGTTTTGTCCGACACAGAGCCTGTCAGGCAGCTCACAGCTAACGTTGACTCCCACAGTATTTACCCCAATGACCTTAAAGGGACTTAGTCAAAGAAAAAAAAAAAGGTTATAGCCTTCCCCTCCCCACCTCAACCCCCTGAAGAGTTGCATAAAGATCAGATTTCTTCAAGAGATATAGGAAGACGACTTTGTTTATATTCCCCTGGTTTACATTATAGAAATTATTTAATATATCCTGCTGTTTCTGGGTAGGTAGTACTCTCCGAGTGTGAAACACAGCTTACTAGACTGCCAGAATGACAATTTCGCACTATTATGAAGGCAGGTCCTTAGCATGGCTTTTCTTAGAGTAAGGCATCCACAAGCCCTTTGTTTCACTGCCCATGGTCCCACTTTAACCTATCGCTTCTACTGTCGTTACCCAGCATATGCTGACTACTCTGTTTTGTTAAGTAGGGTTTAATAAGTCTTTCCTGATGTTATGTGAAATGCTCAGGCAAACCAGTACTAGATGTCACTACTTCAGCCACTGGAACAAGAGTTTTGTTAGCAAAGTGGATAGAAATTAATTTTATTTTGAAATATTAGCATTTGGTTGTAAGAGTATCTGCTTGCCAAGTTAATTTTATGTTTCTTAATATACATATTCCTTAGACTGTGCCATCATTTCCTGGTTTCTGAAGCTGAACCAATATTGTTTTTCTTCCTAGTCACGTGTTTTTTGTTAAAAAGGAGTTTTGATTTGGTTCTCTTAAAATTAGAAGCACATTTTGATTCAATTTTATTATTTTTAAAGTTTAGCAACTCTAACAACAGGAAAAAAAACTTCTAAAAACAATTTCTTAAAAAAAATCTGGACACTTCAAAATAAATGAAGCAACACCAACTAGTTGTCCTTCAATAACCTCATTGTATTTTAATTTCTCTTCTATTTCTTTTAACAGTATTATCCACTAAGATAACCCAATAAAGACATTTCAGTCATTATGTCTGTAAACTAGTCTTGATTTATTGGAAA